AAACTTGAAACTTCCCATTATTATTCTTTCGTGTTTAGAGGCTCCCCCCCCCCACCCCCCCATAATTTGTAGCTTACTTCGCTTATGCTTAAATCCAGCACTTGCTGCTGGAGGCCCTCATCCAGCGAGTGGCATGACAAAGCTGCTTTGCCTGTAACATGTACGCACATATGATGATACGTATGCTGCACATGCGCATGTGTAGATGTCCGCATCTAACACCGCTGTGCGGGCATTCCGGCAGAAACCAGGTGTGCTGCATTTTCCTCTCGCTCTGTGGTGATCGAGATGCGCGACCACGAGTGAGTGTTTCCCCACCACCACCACCCTTCTTCCACGCTTTTAAGCTCGGGGCTTTATCAGATGGTCCCCGGTAGCCCTCTGTAAACACGCGCATACCCCTGCGAGCCTCAATTAGCCTGGAAGTGCTTATTTGGCTGGAGGAATGTAGGATGTTTGCCGGCTTGGAAAACTGGCACGTGATGGCAGGCGGGAGGCAACGCGCCTCCGTCCATTAGCGGCTCATTAGCGCTGCCAACCAACCCCAGGGCCCCCTGCTCCCGCCTCCGTGCTGCCCTTAAACATTTGGTTGACAAAATCATGAATAGGGACGCGGATGGGGGAAGGGTAAGACGATGGCGGGAGGGGGAGGGGAGTGTGGGGGGTGGATGGTTGAAGGGTGGTTTGGGAAGTCGAGGGTGGCCGATTGAGTTGAAGTCCACGCAGGAGGAGTGATGTGGGTGGCTGTGGGCGATGGAAGAGGCTGTGGGTGATGTTCGACTCTGCCTCGAATGAGTACCTGGTGCGGTGTGTACTGGGAAGACAAAGGCGGCCGGGCGGGGTTCTGGCCACGCCACTACCACGTGCGCCGCGCCGGCCTTCAAAGGTGCTACTCGCTAACAGCACTTGCCCCCAACAGCTTGTTAAGGCTACACGGGGGATCTTCATCTTTGTGGGTGATGGTGTTCGTGTTTCCTCGACCACGCAAGCGTCTTGTATGCGGGGATTCCGGCGCACAGCCAACATGAATACATGAACCGGTCTTGGGGGCCTCCCCTACGTCGCCTCAGCCTTACATGAGTACCTGGTGCGGTGTGGGAAGACAAAGGCGGCCGGGCGTGGTGCTGGCACCTATTGCCCCAACAGTCTGTTGAAGGTTGCACGGGGGATCTTTGTTTGGTGTGGGTGATGGTTGGAGAGGTGTTGGATGAAATCCAATCGCTTTGGCGACAGGGTTGATGGATCACACGTAGATAGATCTGCGTGCGCCCGAAACGCATTTGCCTTCAAGGGTTACGGCAAGTCAAGCCAATGGTGGTTTGCTGGCCTGTGGCGTGCAGCTGGCAGTGAGAATGCTGAGAGAGTCAAAACCAAAGCCCTCTCCGGGTTGAGTGTCGGGTGAGTGGTGAGCGTCGGGTGAGTGGTGAGAGTCGGGTGAGTGGTGAGAGTCGGGTGAGTGGTGAGTGTCGGGTGAGTGGTGAGAGTCGGGTGAGTGTCGGGTGAGTGGTGAGAGTCGGGTGAGTGGTGAGAGTCGGGTGAGTGGTGAGAGTCGGGTGAGTGGTGAGTGAGTGGTGAGTGTCGGGTGAGTGTCGGATGAGTGGTGAGAGTCGGGTGAGTGGTGAGTGTCGGGTGAGTGGTGAGAGTCGGGTGAGTGGTGAGTGAGTGGTGAGAGTCGGGTGAGGGGTGAGTGTCGGGTGAGTGTCGGGTGAGTGGTGAGGGTCGGGTGAGTGGTGAGTGTCGGGTGAGTGGTGAGAGTCGGGTGAGTGGTGAGAGTCGGGTGAGTGGTGAGAGTCGGGTGAGTGGTGAGTGAGTGGTGAGTGAGTGGTGAGAGTCGGGTGAGTGGTGAGTGTCGGGTGAGTGGTGAGAGTCGGGTGAGTGGTGAGTGAGTGGTGAGAGTCGGGTGAGGGGTGAGTGTCGGGTGAGTGTCGGGTGAGTGTCGGATGAGTGGTGAGAGTCGGGTGAGTGGTGAGTGTCGGGTGAGTGGTGAGCGTCGGGTGAGTGGTGAGTGAGTGGTGAGAGTCGGGTGAGGGGTGAGTGTCGGGTGAGTGTCGGGTGAGTGGTGAGGGTCGGGTGAGTGGTGAGTGTCGGGTGAGTGGTGAGAGTCGGGTGAGTGGTGAGTGAGTGGTGAGTGGTGAGTGTCGGGTGAGTGGTGAGAGTCGGGTGAGTTGTGAGAGTCGGGTGAGTGGTGAGAGTCGGGTGAGTGGTGAGTGAGTGGTGAGAGTCGGGTGAGGGGTGAGGGGTGAGTGGTGAGTGTCGGGTGAGTGGTGAGAGTCGGGTGAGTGAGTGGTGAGAGTCGGGTGAGGGGTGAGTGGTGAGTGTCGGGTGAGTGGTGAGAGTCGGGTGAGTGGTGAGAGTCGGGTGAGTGGTGACAGTCGGGTGAGTGGTGAGTGAGTGTCGGGTGAGTGGTGAGAGTCGGGTGAGTGGTGAGTGAGTGGTGAGAGTCGGGTGAGGGGTGAGTGTCGGGTGAGTGTCGGGTGAGTGGTGAGAGTCGGGTGAGTGGTGAGTGTCGGGTGAGTGGTGAGAGTCGGGTGAGTGGTGAGTGAGTGGTGAGTGGTGAGTGTCGGGTGAGTGGTGAGAGTCGGGTGAGTTGTGAGAGTCGGGTGAGTGGTGAGTGTCGGGTGAGTGGTGAGAGTCGGGTGAGTGGTGAGTGAGTGGTGAGAGTCGGGTGAGGGGTGAGTGTCGGGTGAGTGTCGGGTGAGTGGTGAGAGTCGGGTGAGTGGTGAGTGTCGGGTGAGTGGTGAGAGTCGGGTGAGTTGTGAGAGTCGGGTGAGTGGTGAGAGTCGGGTGAGTGGTGAGTGAGTGGTGAGAGTCGGGTGAGGGGTGAGTGGTGAGTGTCGGGTGAGTGGTGAGAGTCGGGTGAGTGGTGAGCGTCGGGTGAGTGGTGAGAGTCGGGTGAGTGGTGAGTGAGTGGTGAGAGTCGGGTGAGGGGTGAGTGTCGGGTGAGTGTCGGGTGAGTGGTGAGAGTCGGGTGAGTGGTGAGTGTCGGGTGAGTGGTGAGAGTCGGGTGAGTGGTGAGTGAGTGGTGAGTGGTGAGTGTCGGGTGAGTGGTGAGAGTCGGGTGAGTTGTGAGAGTCGGGTGAGTGGTGAGTGTCGGGTGAGTGGTGAGAGTCGGGTGAGTGGTGAGTGAGTGGTGAGAGTCGGGTGAGGGGTGAGTGTCGGGTGAGTGTCGGGTGAGTGGTGAGAGTCGGGTGAGTGGTGAGTGTCGGGTGAGTGGTGAGAGTCGGGTGAGTGGTGAGTGAGTGGTGAGTGGTGAGTGTCGGGTGAGTGGTGAGAGTCGGGTGAGTTGTGAGAGTCGGGTGAGTGGTGAGAGTCGGGTGAGTGGTGAGTGAGTGGTGAGAGTCGGGTGAGGGGTGAGTGGTGAGTGTCGGGTGAGTGGTGAGGGTCGGGTGAGTGGTGAGAGTCGGGTGAGTGGTGAGAGTCGGGTGAGTGGTGAGTGAGTGGTGAGTGTCGGGTGAGTGTCGGGTGAGAGTCGGGTGAGTGGTGAGTGAGTGGTGAGTGTCGGGTGAGTGGTGAGTGAGTGGTGAGTGAGTGTCGGGTGAGTGGTGAGTGTCGGGTGAGTGTCGGGTGAGTGGTGAGTGTCGGGTGAGTGGTGAGAGTCGGGTGAGTGGTGAGTGAGTGTCGGGTGAGTGGTGAGTGTCGGGTGAGTGTCAGGTGAGGGGTGAGTGTCGGGTGAGTGGTGAGTGAGTGGTGAGAATCGGGTGAGTGGTGAGCAAGTGTGACGGGGAATTATGGACAAAATATATCCTAAGGGGCCGTCCATAAATGACGTCACGCGATTTTGGACGATTTTTGACCCCCCCCCCTTCGTCACACGGCGTCACAAAAAGTCAGCCCCCCCCTTAAATATGACGTCACAAAGCTCTGCCCCCCCCCCCCTATAAAAATAAAACATGCTTCAAATCGCTTTAAACTATTTGTCATTGTAGTGCGTATTTAATGTGGCGCTGCACTCTGATGTTGTAGGAGAGAACATTTATTAAAAAGTATATTTAATTAAATAGAACGTGTTGTGTCTATATTTATTTAAAGTTGCGCATTTTGATGTGACGTCACATTTCTCAAAACACCCCCCCCTCGTCACACATCGTCACAAATGTCTGACCCCCCTCCCCCTAGGCGCGTGACGTCATTTATGGGCGGCCCCTAAGCAGGACCCCCCTAAAAAACAATCTCGCGACTCTGTGAGGAATACTTTGATAAAAAAAAAATATATAAAAATCAAGTGTTCGTGTCTCCCTGCTCATTCGAGCAGGTTGGGAGCCTTGATCCAGCGATGGAAATTCCACATTCACGTGGTGGGAGTCAGTCTTACAATGGACAGCAAATGTTGACTTTCCACAAAATGGTACTTGTTTTATATACACTAGAAGCATGCTGGGCTGAATCGAAGCAAACCAGAATATATTCTCGCAGCATTCACGTTGAGCCTCAGCGACAAATAAGTGCATCTTTAAAAGACTTAAAAAAAAACATAGAATAGAAGAAGTGCGTGGCTTTTCCGAACCTGAGATCTGCTAATGTAGGAGGGGCATTCAAATAGAGCCGGCTTACACAGTGTTCCTGCAACAATAGTGGTTTTGTACAATAGTGCACAATTTGGATTTATGAAGCGTTTAAGCGAGTTTTAATTCTCAGCGCGAGAAGTCCTGCTGAGAGTCGAGGAAATGCGATTAAAGAGAGCCCCTTACTCGACGAACCAGTTTCCATGCCCTTTTATCATCCCCAGGGCAGAATGTGCCACAAGCCGTGAATGGACATCTCGTGCAGGCGGCGTCGACAAAGCCACACGGGGACAACTCGTTTCCTTTAGTGTGGGCGCATCTTAAAACCAGCGCCCACGTCTTAAAGGGAGGCTCCATGCCCACGTCTTAAAGGGAGGCTCCATGCCCACGTAAAATCTCGCCGATCACCAGCATTGATTTCACGTTGGCTTGACCCTGCCGAATGTCGAAACCAGTACGGAGTTTTCTTGCATTGAATCAGCGCCTGCTGAGGTTTACTCCTCGAGGGCCGTGGGGCCGATGGGTTGTGTAAATTGTACTTGAATGTTTGTTGCTTTGAGAGGAATATATATATGAAGTGAGCGTATTTTGTCTGCTTGTCAACAACAACAACAACAAAAAAGCGGATAATTCTTTGCACGGTCGTGAGATACCGAGAGTCTCACGGATTGCCTGTGAGACTCGCCGTCTTTCGCATAATATGCCTTTGTATTGGGGCTTACGGTGCAATTGTAGTAGCGATGGTGGTGATAGTGATGATAATATTTGGTGATGTTGATGTTTCTGATGATAATTATGTCAATGATGGAGGTAAAGATGGCAATTAGTGACTGACTTTGGTGACGAAGGATTAATGGATGCCAAATAGGAGGATGCCATTTGTGATATTAATTATTGTGATGGTAATTGATAGTGATGATATGAATTATTTATGTGATCGATGATGGTTGATGTCAATGTGCCATGAAAAAAGGGCCATTGCCCAAAACGTCATAAATGAAACATGTTTTTTCCTTTTAAGGCCTCAGTGTTATTGACGAATGCGTTGAGTTTGTTGTTATTTGAGCTTGTGCACCATCGATAACGCAATATCACACGAAAAATGTGTGGTCATTATCGTGAAGATCCTTTTTGCTTTGTGATGAATAATGATTGGAATAAAATTATTGTAGCTCCGTTTATGCAAATTGCATCTAAAAGCACTGTAGAATTTGTAATGCCTGGTTTTCACTGATTATGACGATCATATTTGGTGATGTTTTCTAATGACAATACCGTATACTCAACGGTAATAATGAATGATTCATGCCAATGATATTTCCTCATGCTGATTATTCCAACAATTATAATTGGTTGTGTAATATTCCTTAAAGACCCTGTACTCATTCTCTGCAATATTCATGCTTTTGTCTTTGCTCTGTTGTTGTGCTCAGGCACCATGGATCTCCCTTGTAAAATATCCGGGAAACCGGCTCAACTGGATCAACTGTGTAACAAATTAAATAAATCTTGATTTGAAGATAAAAATTAAAACAAAACTCCAATCTCTTATGAAGATAATGTTGTCAGTAAGGAATGCTATGCTAATGATCAATGTTATTGAGATCTGATGTTAATTATGATTTTTTTTAACTTTAAACTCATTTAGTTAATTCCTATTGGGTCTTCTTGGATGTGAAAGAAGACCAGAGAAAACCCTAACATATGAGATGGTGACACTCACATTTCACGCAAATTATATCAACTAAGTACCTCTGCTAAAATTAGTTTTAGCTACTGCTTATCTCTGTTGATGGCCATTGACCATCGGTGGAAACTCCACAGTAAACTTCACAGTAAACTCCACAGTAAACTCCACAGTAATCATCCATAGGACAAACCATTGTAGACTTACAACTGCAACTCATTTATTGATCCCTGGTTGCGTTTTCAACTTTCAACCTCACAACTTGTTAAGTAGCCGCTTTCACCACAATTCCGTTCAGTTATATGCATTATCGGACTGCACCAATAAGACAACATGGAAGCTTTTAAATAAAATCACAAGACAGCAATCGAATTCAATTTGAAAAATATATATATATTTCAACAAGTATCAACTTAGCAAGTGAAGCGTTCGTAAAATAGCATATAAATTAATTGGTGTATTTTCACTGGAATGCATCAACAATCATACATATGTAAACACGTGTTCCTAAATACATAGTAGCTGTACATTATTTACATAGCATATACTTCTCAATGGTAATCGGCATACATATATACCAATAGCAACAATAATGAATGCACAGCAGCCTAAGGTTTGTACAAGATCAGAATCTCTTTAAGTGACTTAAGGTAATCTAGATTGACTTAAGGTATCAATATCCGAGAGTTATTCTCTTCATTGACAGTGGATTTAACAATTCCCAACTGCTGCGAGAATGAGAAAGCAAACGTATGAACTGTACCCTCTACTTCATTCATTCACTATACAGTATTCACATAAGGGACAACGCGGTGGCCTGAATTAATCAATTATACTTGAAATGTGTGAGTTGCCTTTGCATTGACAGGTACGATTGAACGGTTGATTGCCATCCTTTATTTATTCCAGTGAGAGTCCGAGATTCATGACCTCTTTCCCCACCAGGTCCGACAATAACAAAGCTAATTAAGTATCGTGTGTTCCGTGAGCACTACAAGGTTGCTTCAGTCCAATTTGTATCTTCTGCTCAAAGCGGAAGCGGGCAGTGTGCATCACCACTGGTGGCCCTAAGCCAGGAGTGGAAATCTCACATTTTTGTCACGGGGCAAATGTTCCATACTTCAACCAGATCCCCACAAAGTAGATTCCATTTTTGGATTGACGTGTGTGAATCTTATGAATTGACGATTTTGATGTTGGAGAGTTAGATGGCACCTGTATCTGTCAGTGGTAAAAAAATTCCACAGTCATATACTAGGTGCCATTATCGCCACAAAATTAAGCACTGTGGAATGAAATAAAAACGGAGTTGCAGGTATGAAATGTGGTTCCCTCTGCCATAGGAATGCGGAATTTCCACCACTGGCTTAGGGCCATGAATGGAGATGAGAATATCGAATGTGTTACAGCAGTAAAGGAGTGGTGACTTCCCGTATGCATTGACTATAGTATGATGATATCAGGTTCATAATGGAGGTTCCTTTGTAATTGTAACAACCGGCCAAGTTGCGTCATTATCGCAGTACTTGAACGATGAAAATTTATGAATTAAAATTATGTTTATGGAGGGCCCACTCAGTCCTCAATCCTTCAAGGAACGATAAAAACCAACACCAATTCATAGGAAATAAAAAGCAGTTATATATGAAAACATGGGAATGTGTAATGTTCGTTGTTGGCTCAGGGTCACGAATTGAGATGTGCATAACCCAATGGTTGTTTGAGAGGGAAAACTATTTGACTGACTCTTATTCCGACTTGGTCCCCTTAAGAGTACTAAGCATTGCCTACAATTTCCCATTAATAATTGGACTGAATATTGGGGTCTCTGTGTCTCTAACTTCCTACGGGTATTCTCCGGCATTGTTTCAAAAAATGTATTGATCATTATTGAGGTCACCTATAAGTGTCCTCTTGAAGATCCCTCTCATTGACCAATGCGTCGAGACTCGCTAACCATCGGCTGGCCCATGTGTCCTACACGTGGGAGAAGGGCAGCTGCTTCGGGTAGGATCCAGACCCTCTTCCGGCTCCGATCGGGGACCTGTGCCTCTTCCCCGCGCGCCAGGCCCGGCACCTTTTGTAAAACCTCTTCCATGACCCGGCCGTCTTGCCCGACCAGATCCATGCACCCGACGTGATGCCGCCCACCAGGCACACAAAGTACTTGAGCATGAATACCGCAAAGTCTGGCCGGGCACCCGGTTCGGGCAGGTGACCTGGCCCAGGTCCACACGCACTGGGATCCACGGAGAAGCCACCATCGCCGCCAACACCGCCCCCGCATACCAGGGTCCGCTCCCAGCTGTCGCGGTGCTGCTGCTCGTACAGGTGGCACACGACCGCCACGGCCGCGGGCACCGTGTAGAGCACAGCGAATACCCCGATGCGGACCATGAGCCGCTCCAGTTTCTCTGTCTTGGCGCCTCCGGGATTCGCGCTGCTGCACAGTGAGAAACGGGCGGCGGTGATTGGATGATCGCGGTGTGGTGAACACGAGCAATGAAGAGTGGTTGAAAGCTTGAAATGCCACCCGGCGCAATGGGGAAAGGGTTTTTGGGGCATAACGTAATAGACTTTAAGTTTCTGGCTCTGCCTCTATTCCTGACAAACTAGCACTAATCCTCCCGTTGACCCTAACCCTACCTCCAATCCCACCCCTTTGCGAGGAACCTTTTAATGTTTCGTTTGTGTTTCAGTTTTTGGCGTTTACAGGGTGTGTGTACACGAGAGACGTCGCAACATTTGGTCAGCAGTGACAGATTAACTCACCCCTCAACTCAGCTCGCTCAATATCCTTCATGGCCCCCCTTGGGCTACTCAGCATGGGCCCCCCTTATATACTTACACCCCCAACTTCAAAATCATTCTCGTGCCCCTACTGGACGTCAGCAGTGGAAATGAACAGCCTAATGACGGTACAAAATACACTCGGCAACAGAGGCGCGGGGCTAAGTGCCACGCAGTATCCGACTACAGAGGGCCCCAGACTTAGAATTTGTTAACCAAAATCCCTAATTCTGAACAATTGTCTTTACTAAAACAGTATTGCTATCCAATCCAGTTAATTGCTTAAGCTAGAGTTTAATGTGGCGGCTCTAAAGTACAACCATTGTTGATATCGCACTAATGTGCCAATGCCTGAGGTTTGAACTGCAACATTCCATGAGTGGAGCCCTTTAATGACAGAGCCACGCTGCCAGATAGTTTAGAGTGGTGTCCTGCAAGGATGGTAGGCTGCGTGTTAGACTGTAGCACAGTGAGAATATAAAAACAAACAAGACAAAGATCCCCCGTATAGCTGTAACAGAGGCTGTTGGGGCAAGTGCTGCTAGCGAGCACCTATGAAGGCCGACACGGCACACGAGGGATTGGATAACCAACACCACGCCCGGCTGCCTTTATCTCCCTAGTGGCGATGCTTAAACACCGCACCAGGTTCTCATTTGAGGCTGAGTCGACCTAGGGGAGGCCAGGACCGGTTCAAATAATCGTCACCGGTGTTGGCCGTGAGCGGGAATAGAACTCGAGCCGCCGGGTTCGGAGCGCAGTGTAGCGCTGACCACTACATCACAGCTCCCCACAGTGCTAATGACAACTCAATCATAGACAGGCCTTCATAATGTTCATATACTAGCTATTAAATCTGATCTAGCCTTAACCTCAGTTACCTTAGCAAAGCCTATAGATAGTCTGCAAATTTAACAGCCCATCCTCGTCAGAACCATAATATTATACTGGTCACTAACACTAACAGTTCCATGAATATGATCTTAATCGCTAACCCTAACAATAACACTGAAGTATAAGCTAACATTAACCTCGGCTTGAACCCTGACCTTAAATATTTCCTCTCCCGCCCATCATCCTCATGCTGATATTAACATGGCCTTAGAAGTTCAACATACATACTTAGCATAAACCCAAAGGTTAGAGTTAACACTGGCATCACCTCCACACAAAACCTCAACGGTAATACTATACAAAAAATAAACCCCATATGGTTAAACATCCGTGCTTACAACAGCGACCCTTCCTTTATTGCTTCATCACCATCACAGCACGCACCTCTGCATCAGTTGCTGCTGCTGCTGCATAAGCTGCTGCACCTGCTGCTGCATCTGTTGCTGCTGCTGTTTGATGGCGTTTCGGATCCGAAAGAGCGCCACCAACCCCGCCAGCAGGAACGCCGTGCCCACCAGCAGGTACGCGACCAGAGGAGCCAGCACAAAACCGCGAAGGTTGTCCAGGCTCTGGTTGCCCACGGAGCAGATCCCGGCCACGGGGTCACCGTCCACGGCGTTCATGGCCAGCGCCGCGATGGCTTTAATGCTGGGCAGGAGCCAGGCGGCCAGGTGATAATACTGCGAGTAGCCGGCTATGGCCTCGCTGCCCCACTTCAATCCCGCGGCCATGAACCAGGTGAGGGACAGGATGACCCACCACACGCAGCCAGCCATGCCGAAGAAGTAAGTGAGCAGGAAGACGGCGGTGCAGAGCGCGGGTCCGGAGCTCGCGTAGAGGACGTGGTGCCAGTCCGCGCTGCACGCCACAGCCTCGTGGCCCGCCACCATCCGCACGATGTAGCCGAGCGACGCCAGCATGCAGCACAGCGACAGGAAGATGATGGGCCGCTCCGGGTACTTGAAGCGCTCCATGTCGATAAGGAAGGTGCTCACCGTGGCGAACGTGGCCGCGAAGCACAGCGACGACCACAGGCCGATCCAGAAGGACGCGAACGTGCGCTGCTCCCGCCCGAGGAACGGCGAGTGGCAGGGCGTCGCGCAATTGCGCACCTGTCCCGTGCGCACGCGGTCGTAGAGGACGTGGCGAGGGTTCGAGATGCGCACCAGTGGCGCCCTGCAGCCGCAGATCGGTTCGCACTCCGCGCTGCCCCCGATCACTCTGCCCCTGCCTCCTCCTCCTGCTGCTGCCGCTGCCCCTGGCTGCCTTCCCCCGTCTCTGGGCGGCACCTGCCTGTCGGTCACGTCGTCCTCGTCCTCGTCGTCGGAGGAGGAGGAGGGGATGCCACCGTCGCCTTGGCCCGCAGGCGCCCCCGGGGGATGCCCCGCGTCGTTGCGGTTGTGGTCCATGCAGAGGCTGTCGGCTGAACCTTGCTCGGGCAGGCGGTCGCAGCGCATGCGGTCGGGCCACGCGAATCCGTACTGGCGCATGAGCGGCGCGCAGCCGGCGCGGGCCCTCTCGCACACCGAGCGGCACGGCGGCAGCGGCTGCTTGTAGTCCTCCAGGCAGATCGGAGTGTACATGCTGCACAGGAAGAAGCGCAGGTCCGGCGAGCAGTGGATTTCGACGAGGGGCCAGAATTGGTGCACCTCGAGGCCGGCCTCCTCCTGCGAGTCGTGGCGAAAGTCGTTGGGCATGTACGTGTGGTTGTAGCCGATGCCTCTGCACATGGGCACCGTGATTTCCTGGCACACGGGGTCCCGCGCGAGGGATGTGGATGGAGCGCAGATGAGCAGCAGAAGCATCTTCATCGTAGTCTTCATCGTCGTCGTCGTCTTCATTTCCAGCAACGGCAGCAGCAGCAGCAGCAAAAGCATCGCTAGCGATCGCGCAGTGGAGATTGTCGAGCCTGTGGTTTGCTCGAGAAACTGAATCGGAAGGACGACGGCTTCGAAATCGTGGTTTAAAGTTTTGTTTCGCGTGTTGGAATTGTGAATGGACGCAGTTCATGAAATCGCGGCTCTCAACGAGAGCGCATCCCGGCGAGAACCCAAGTCCCAGGTTGAGCGGTAACAGTTAGTTTTGCATTCTTTGCTTTTGCCCAAAAGCTTCCAAAAATTAACTTCTTGTCATTAACAATAATAATGATGATGACAATTCTGCTATTTATAAACTCGCTTTATCCCACCAATGACATGATAAGAACTGCGAAGACATTCGCTTTGAATGTGCTACGGATTGCCTTGGACAAAATCGGAGGAGTACTAACAACACGCAGATGAAGAAGCACTCACCAAGCAACAGAATCGCGCGCCAGAAGTGTTTTTAGCGGACCGCACAGCGCCCATCCTCCTTATGTAATCAATGCGAGAGGAGCCAAAGGGACGAGGCTTGGGTCGCGGAGCCTTGCTCCGCCTTCATCCCGAGTCGCGTGGCCAATCAGCCCCAGCAGCTCCGCGCTCTGTGGGGGGTCTCTGCGGGGGGCGAGTTTGTTCGCAGAAGCGAGGGATGAGTGAGGTTGGGTGGAAGGGTGGGGGCACGCCACTGAGCCGTGGAGCTGCAGGAGGAGTTGGGTGATGGGGCGGGGGGGCCCAGGATTTGTGCGGGGTGGTGAGTGCGATAATTAAAACAAAACAATTAAAAAGGCCAGGGGGTGGGTGGGGGGGGTGGTGGTGGCTAGGCAGCATTAACGGCAATGGATGGGCGTTTATTCAAATACAAGTGTAGGGACTGCTGGAATAGTTGTGGTCATTTAGAGCTATCTCCATAGTCTATACAGGGATGTGTCCGCCGTGTATACGGACGCGTGGCAATCAGAAAGTCACGGCGTACGAGGGGGGGGGGGGGTGTGGTCAGCACCACGCCCGGCGGCCTTTGTCTCCCCAGTGTGCCTGATGTTCACACACAGCGCGTGGGTGAATCGTACAGGGCAGAGTTCTACCAACGCACGAAACAGCGCGCGCGTTGTTGTGGCAGTGTGGTTGTCCCCGCGGGCCCTTCTCAATCATCCGCAAAAAATCGCGCCCACCGCTTCCTTTGTTTGTGCCATCGCCAGGAGGTGTTTGCCTAATCACCACAGCGCATACGATTAGGAGACCTCTAATACCAGCCGGTCCCGTAGCAGGGAGCACCAGCGTTCGTGGAAGTTGTGCCACGTAGACTCGGGTTGGGAAAAAAAAAACATTTCACTGTCCCCACCCGCGTCATTAGGTGACCAAATGTCCCCTTATTTTCATCGTGCATCATAGAGTACGGATTATTTGGTGATACTGCGTTGTTGGCTGTAGCGCAACAAGCACAAGTAACAGCAAACTCAACTCATTCGTCAGTGACGCTGCCTTGAAAAAAATCAAACGGGAATGGGCGCTTTGAGTAGCAGTTTTGTACCCGAAGGGCGCCACGTGTCTAAGAAAAAAAATGTATTTGACTTGACTATAATAGGCGACGTCTTGGGCAATGGCACTTCTTGACGTTACTCTTTATTTACGTGCCATGAAGGGCCATTGGCCGAAACGTCACATGCATCATAATCATGGTGAACCATTTATAGTTATCCCGTTGATATCCAGTGTGTCTTCTCAACAGACGGTTTGACTATTACAGCGATGGCTCCACTTCTTACAGAGAATGTCTTACGATTAAACGAGTGCAATGACATTGGTGGGAGATGTGTGAGATGCTTCGAAATAAAGTTTTGTCTCTGCTCCAGTGTATGCCGATTATAAATTAATGGGGTATCTGTAAATGGATCACCCAGGAATACAAAGACAAATATCCCAGTACCGTGTAACCAATTTGCAATACAGTGCTGTTGGCGGTACGAGTTAAGGGACACACACACACATATTTATGTGCACGCATATGCATACGTACAGCTCCTTTGGCAATCCACTGCTAGATGGGGGCTTCCCCACACCATAACGGGGCGTGGGGGTTATTTTTTCCATACCTTTACCAGTAGGGGTTGGTAAAGGTGGGCGGGGTGGGGGGGGCATAGACTTGGGAGCATATCTTCTTTGGTTCTTTCGGTAAAGTCACGTAGAATGAGAATAAAATAATAAATTGATAAAATAAAATAACACAATAATATTCTCACGACGTTTCGGCCACAACACAAGCGGCCTTCATCAGCATAGTGCAGTACGGCAATATACGTTTCCGCACTACCCTCTGCTCGCCACCACGTAGGCATGCACCCATTGGACAACTTGTCTGCGCAAGACGTTCACTCATGCAGCTAATAGCCAGGCTGAAACTGCTTAACTTCTGAGAGCTCACGGGCGATTTGGCCATATGCACATAGAACACAGTTTGAGGAATTTGATGAAACCTAGTGTAGATACTCATATACATTTGCCGGCCATGAACAATTAGTGGAAATTCCACATGGCGATGGCATGGGCCAGTTTGGGCATATTGCCTTCCGACAAAGTCGTTTCCAAAGATAGTTTATCTTCAGGAGGGTTCAGCTTTTGGGTCCAATCTCGATTCACATTTTTCGTGTTTTTTTTGTTGTTGTTGTTACAATGTGGGAGGAAGTCTGGATGTCCGGGGAAAACCTACGTCCACACGCTCGGAGGAAACACTTAAACTCACTTGCAGTACTGCCTCCTATAGCCACCTCGTTGCTGTGCGACATCCGGTTTCCCGTTCATCATCCCTGAGCAAGTGGTGGAAATTCCACATTGTGATGGCATAGGCTAACCACTTTCTCACGGTTAACAAGTACTTAACGCATGAATGCTTTTTTTAAAAGCATATTTGATCAACATTGTGGTTTACGTAAAAATGCAGCAGCCGTACATTCAGCTGTTTATTTGTGCTAGTCTCTAAACACATAAATGTCTGGCAAAACGCAGCCAAACCCAGTGATTATGTGACCACTCCGAGCAGGAACATTCCTCCTGTGGGCCATATCATCGAGGAGTTCTTACAATCCATTGTCAGCCTCACTGCTGCCTCCAAAGGCTACGTAATAAGACCACGGTTCGACAGGGTGTTTAAATCGTAGTCTCTCAAATGGCAGCAATACGACCACGTGCTCAGGTGAGCGACCTCCAAGGGCTTGTCGGGTGTTGCAGGCGTGGGACTGTGCAGTGTCCAGGAGGTAGCAGTGTTGAGTGCTACCCCCTCAAAGTTTCCTTCAACACGAAAGGAGAAACATCCGGAACGTGCTTACCCTGAGTATGTATCCCTATTCCTCCCTATTATTTTGGAAAAAAAAAGAAAGAGGTTCTTCAGCTCTGGACTTGGCTCCTTGGTTTTGTCACGCCCTGTGTGCGTGCGTTCTGTTTGTCTGTCAGACGGAACTTGCTACTTTCATGGTCATACTGAAGGTCTGACTCTTAATAAGGTTCCTTCCTTTTGGAATATAATTTATGCTTCCAATGGTTTCCATACCAGTCGTGGGCTGGTAGCTGCTATTTGTATACACAATATTGTATTACATTTTAATTGCAGTAACTACAAAATTCACTTGACCCTATTTCATTAAAAAGGTCTTGAAAAAAACTGTTTAGTTTGTGCTAAATACTGTTTTTTTTAAATCACTGATTGGAATTGCATTGGGAAGTCCATGGGGTTGGAGGGCTGTCCCGTGGAGGGCCTTGTGGAATTACAGGGGTGGAGCCAGGGGGGGTGACAGGGGGGGTGACATTCTACGTGTAAGTGTACGACACTCGGTCTGGCGGACTCCGTGCAACTGCAGTGTCAGAGCGTGTCGCCAACCGATGGCGTCTAGTTCAACAGCCTGACTCTCTAAATCATTCTTGAAATTAACATTTGTTGAATGTCACCCCGGGCTGAAATCCTGGCTCCGCCCCTGCGTGGAAACATCTCTCTGTCTCTCTCTCTCTTCAGCGCCCTACTGGAGTGGTTGTAGTTAGCTCTTCATGGAGGGAAGGGGCACTGTTCATTTGATTTTTCATTTACATCCTGGGATTTCCCAAGATTAGGGAAGGGGGCGCTTCCCAAGGCACAAAAAGCTACGTCTCATATCGGTCTTTTCTCCTTTGAGAGCAAGGGTTGGGGTGGTGGGCTCATTCTTTCTGGGTTTTCTGAGCATTTTTACTCAGTGCAGGTAAATGTAGTCTTTGTGCAAGGTAACTGGTGCATTAAGCACACACATCAAAAGGAAGGTAGGATAGTTTATTTCGTTTCATTTAATGTTCACGTATGTACTGTATTGTAATATGAGCCGATAAATAATTCATTGCAACCGATGCCACTTATTTCTGTATGTATCTTCTTACCAACCTTGTATGAAATATAAAATAAAATAAGCAGAAAGTAATTCTCATTCTCATATTTGTCCCTCCACATTAAAAAAAAACACGTTAAAGTATGTTTGTAACATCCCATTATCCACACAGCCTGCTTGGAAGAGAGATAGATTGATTGTTTTAATCTATAAATTTTTGTGTGTCTCACATGTTAGCTGCATCATCATTCTATGTATAATTCACAGTAGTTTCAGGTAACTCACTTCTCCGTGTGGATCTTGTTACCTGACCTGAACATACGTTGGTTTGCTCAGGAGGATCTATTCACTTTGGTGTGCGTTTGGTATTTCTCCCTTTGTATTTTGGGAAAGAAATGCCGCTTGACATATGTGGGGTATGTAATGGATACACCCTGCGTCCTGGATATTGCGATTAGCCTTGATCCCACACGTTTGGTCATCGGTTAAAACCAATGCATCTCGACAATGCGCTCAGTTTAACACGTAAGGCTTTCGCGACCAATGTTATACATAATAGAGGCTTATGGGTTAGACCGCATACATATAAATGCGTCGTTAAACCCGCCACCACCCGACACAGCCAACTAGTAATGTTTGTCACGTAAATAAACATTCAAATTCGTTACTAGTACAGCACACTGGTGTGTTGGAGAGGAAATCCACAACATTTACATGTACAATTTCGGGTTTACTCTCCAACACACCGGTGTGCTCGCTTAATTGGCATGTTTTTTTGTTTAAGTGACAAACCTTAGTAATTGGCTGTGTCGGGTGGTGGCGGGTTTAACGACACATTTATATTTACGCGATCTAACCCAAAAACCTCTGTTATGGTAATGAGCTCGGTAATATACTCTTCTTTTGGGGGGGGGGGGGAGTGATGGTCTGATGGTTGTACCGTGGTGCTTGGCTGACACCTGGGAATCCCTAAAATAAAGTTTTACATCAGAGAAACGTATCAGCAGCACATTAGAACATTAGAATACCACACCAACTCATTATCACATGTGAATTATAGATATCGCCACAGTGACAACAGTCACATCTTTTTGCTAATAGCATCATTTTCACATTCAAAAGTCAAAGTACTTATTTCTGCTGGCATTTCAGAACCAGCAGTGGAAATTATTTATTCTTATGGTGTGGGACCAGTCTATCCATAGTAGAACCACTGTTGAAGTGGTTATTATTTTATTTACCCTCTAGGGTTAATTGGCCATACAGATTAGTA